CTCCCCTTCTGGCTCCCACCCTCTCTCCGGATCTCTTTCTCTTTCACTTTTGCATGCCCTGCAACCTTTTAAAATGTTGCCCCTTTCCTGTGATTCGTCAGACGCAGCAGCATGTCCCCCCTCTCTCTCTCCCGCTCCCTCTCTCTCCCTTTTTGTCTCTCTCTCCCTCTCCCTCTCCCCCATCTCTGATTAGATACACTGATTCTTCATTCAATGGACGTCATTTAGAACAGGCTCTGCCTTGAGTTGCCTTCTCGCTTCACGCTCGATTTCCAGCCATTCTTCCCTTATTAAGTATTCGTGTAATATTAATAGTCATGAATATCTGCTATTAGGAGTCTCCAGGAAGGCAGCAGATCTGTTATTAGGAGCTCAAGTGAAGCAGCAGCTAAGTCAAAGGAGAAAAAGAAAGAAAGAGACAGAGGAAAAAAAAAAAAAAGGATTAAGAAACACATACACACACGCTAAAAAACAAAACCAAAAAAAGGCAAAAAAAAAAAGCGCAAAACAAAAAAAAAAGCAAAAAAAAAAAAAGCAACCAACTTTACATCCATGTCCATAAAGTTTATCAACTTACAGAATCCAGGACAGGTATATTGCATTGTTTTGCACCAGTAAGCACAGTAATATACAAAAGCATGCAAAACCATTTATGGTACAGAAAGATCCTGTAACTTCACTCCTCGAATAACTGGTGAACTTTCAAACCATTCCTATTTTTCTAGGACGATAATTCCTGAGATGCAAAGTTGAGCTGTATGTTGGCATTTTCAAAGACACTGCACTTCAGTAAAGCATACAGAAACAACTTGGTAGGGACAAAACAAAACAGGAGCAAAATATTATCTAATACAGATACTCAGAGGCAAGAAATGATCATGGGGTTAAATTACAGTAAGCGGTGGGCTTTTTTATTTTGTTGAAAAGTACATCTTTTACTGGATTCAACATAGTAATAAGATGAAAAGAGGTCCACTGGCAAGGGAGGAAGAAAAGCAAAAGTTTGGAAATACTTGATACAACTAAAATAAATGACAGCTTTTTCAATATCCCATAGGCAGGCTGTATTAGACGATGTTTTCCCGTATCCACAGAGAAAGTAAAGTCTTTGACTGATATAAGTCAGTTTAGCACAAACGCTGGTCTATCTAGTTAAAACCTGCACTACTTGTTTCTTTTAATAGATAATATAGGTAATATCTAGCTTTCACTCTGAACCCATGCTTTAACACTCAGAATTTATCCATATTTAATTACAATTTTATCACACTTTTCTAATCAAATAAATTTACTTTGTCCTCCAAGCAATCACCTCAGTATTCCAGTATGTAAAAAATACTTTCATTATGTTTATTATAAAAATATAAATGTTTCCACTACAAATCATTTTACATTAGTAAGAGGCCATCTACAATTGCACAATATATAATCTAAATGAGTAAGTAATGCTTTGAAATACAAGTTAACGTAAATACATACTGCCAATCAAATCACAACTATACATTGCTTATTGAATGCTAAGTAACAGCACAAAACTAGATATGTTAACAGAAATAAATAAAATGGAAACTATATTTAAAGATACAAAACCAATAATATGGCATGTCATTTTATGAGTAGTTGCATTTTGCTTGATGTCGATAACCGATGCAAGTCCTGTACAGGAAGATGGCCACACGAATTCTAGTATCTCTACTCCACAATGAAGAATTGTACACTGCTATGTATACATATGTACACGGGGACAGGGAGTATAGGATGCTTGCAACAGAGGCCACTTACAGTACAAATCAGCTTTTCACAGGGAGAGAAAATTAAATGTATTTTAAAACTCTCTACTCCTAATAGCAAAGAAAAGCAAAATTGAGTTTATTTTTCCATAGCATCAGTGAGATATAATCTTTTATGCTGAGCATGCTCAAACAGTGGGCAAGGAACATGACATGATACTACGAGAAAATGAAGGGTGGTTGGTGCAAAGTTTTCAGTCGTCATCTAAAACCCTAAGAACTGGTTCTGTGTTTTCAGAAGCATTTCACAGATGTCTTCCCCCCACCCCAGGCCCCTCTCCCACACTCTCCAGTGGCAGAATGAAGCTGAAGAGAAATGTCATGAGGAATATGTTATAAAAAGCTGTTCCCACACAGACAATGTCTGCAAATGGACTCTGGTGACTTAAATGCACTAACAATGTCTGCTTTAGAGCAATCTCAAACTGAAGAAACGAAAGATTCTGAATGAACTAAGCAACGGAAAATACAGCTTTTCTATTCAGCATGCTGCATTTGATGATAGACTGTGGCAGACAAGGAGAAGTGTTCTTTACATCTTAAGTGCTTTATTTTAATTTTCTTCCATTTTTTTATTTCAACTTACTTTAAAACCCACTCATTTTTCTTTTAGAAAATATTACTAATTATTATCCTGTGAGCGTGTTTCAAATCCAGTCCTTTACAGCATGCTCACTGCCAGCACTCATTAAAAAGTCTCTAATTCTGCTTCTATTTAGCAATGTGTGATAAACGTTGTGTCTCTACATTTTATAAGTCCTGGAACCACGAAGAACAATTTATAAGCTGATTCAGCCACAGAAATCCTAGGAACTGATTCTCCCCTTACTTGTGTGCCCTATGCTACAAGGAGCTTCAAAAACCAAACCAATACAACAAAGAAAGCACAACTAGTTACCTGCTTCTGCATACGCGGTGAAAGGCGGCGTGCCACATCTGCCTCCCACACAGCCTTGGACTTAGAGGGGACTCACTGTTATTCATCAGAATCAGGTTTAGATTCCAGCATGGCAATTTGGGAAACAGAGTGGTTTCCACTAGGGCCTAAAGCCTGAGCTCTGCGTGCCTGGCATCACATCTAGGGTGTTAAGAAGCACAAGAGGTGTCTCACACTGTGATTTAAACCACTCACTTTCAGTAGAAGAGTCATGCCTACTCAGAACTGGGACCGATGTGCTCCAGAGCAACAGCTTAAAAGCTTGCTATTGAGATGGGGGAGGACTCTCAAATGCCACCTTCCAGCCTCCTTTTCCCCCCCAGGAAATGTGAACGCTGTCCTAAAGATATGTTTCTTTGCTTTCGTTTAAGGAACAGGCGTCTAAGGAACCTGTGGCAAATAGCAAGGCTGCTGCAGGATGGCAGTGCCTGGACCGAGATCTTCTAGCTCAGACTTAGGTAAAATTACATACCAAAGTCCCATTTCACAAGCTTCAGTCACCCTTTTAAACCATCCACTTATCCTTGGCTGCAGGACACCATCTCAGTGTAACTACCAGTGGCTACCCACATGGTAGGGCACCTCCCAGCTCCCAAGACCGGGAACAGAGCCTGCCAGATGGAAGCTACAGAAATGGACCACTCCTCACGGAACTCAAAAAGCATCCTCTGCTAACGCAGGATGCAACCCTGACTCTTTTTAATGTTTGCTAGGTGAATCTCCCACCGGAACATGGCTCGAGAACAGGGGTTCTTATTTTGACAGGGGAGCAGGCCTTTGGGAAGTAAATGAGATGTGTGTACCTGACCGGGCCAGATACTGACCTAGAGATCAATATGCACGCAAGTCTGCCAGAACTCAAGCCAGGGTTAAAATACCACCCACAGCAAACGGATATTTATTTATTAAAAAAAAAAAAAGGCGGAAGAAAATAATATATATATTCCTCAGCTGAATTTCGGGAGGAAAGCGTGGCTTTCCTCCTCCCTCCCCCCAGGATGGGTGTTCGAGTGTGCACACGTGCGAGCGTGTGGATTTCATGGCAAACGGCTTTTGTTGCCTTGCGCTAATGGGACTTTGCACCGATGTGCCACCAAACACGGCGGGAGAAGCAGCCGCTCCGCTTTTGTGCATGTGTGTGTGCGCGGTTGGTTCTGCGTGTTTTCCTCGGGAGAGGATGCGGCGTGACTTGGAGGATGGAGAAGAGGGTGGCTGTACCCTGGCGGGGATAGGACCTGCCTTTAAAAGAGGAAAAATAATAATAATTTTAAAAAAATTAATAAAAGCGGAATAAAAGCCCGGCAAGTCGCGCTCCGCGACCGGGAGCGGGCGGAGCGGGGGGCCGGGCGCCGGTGGCGCGGAGGCTGCGGCGGGGCAGCGGCGGAGCGGTGCCTGTTTGAGGGAGTTGTTTGGGAGTTGCACAGCCA